TGTGTCTGTTGGCCATCTGTATATCTTCTTTGGAGAAATGTCTGTTCAGGTCTTTTGCCCATTTTTTAATTGGGTTGGTAGTTTTTTTGTTGTTGAGATAGAGGAAAGTTTTATTGTGTCTGCCCCCAGCCTTGGAGATTTCAAATTATCAAATAAGAAAAGCCATTTGGGAAGACAGCTTTGGAATGAGACACCCAGACAGTGCTGGTTCCACCAATAATTGACCCACTCCTTCCAGAATTGATCCACCAGAATGAATCGAAGAGCCATGAAAACAAATTGTGCCCTTTGTGGCAGTAATCCCCTGGCTTATAAACTATCTTCAGAAAATAATTTGAAAGTGATAACGGAACTGTTAGAACAGAGTCTTTTTTTTTTTTGGCTGCTGCATTCCTCAACAGCAAAAGTTCAGTGCCTCCAACTCAGTCTCTGTGTCCCTAATGTGCTTCACTTCTAAGAGTGGCTCACAAAGACCTCCCATATTCCATCTTTCTCTCCTCCCCTATCTGTCAGCTGGATGTCGAGACCCAGGTGACCTTGGAGTTCACGTGTTGAGGATGGCAGCACCTTTGTCAACCTGAGTCCCTGAATGACTCCATGGAGCCAAACACCCCCTCACCACTCCCACTGCTACCAACCAGGTGCACCCACATCGAACTTTCTATGAGTGAAAAAAGGTCTATTATATGAAGTCACTGAGATTTGGGGATACCTATATTAAAGCAGCTAGTGTCACCTTAATTACTATTGTAGACAATATTTGTTGAATGAATTAATGTGACTTGAAAAAAATTATATTGTGTTGACACTACCACTTGCGGAGAAATTTTACTAGAAGGGAGAAATTTGTGGTTAAGGGTTAGTGCTCTTTTTCTACAAATCCCCACCAGCCACTTTTCTGTCTTCTCCATTATCACTGGGGCTTAACCACTGTAGAACTCAAAGGTTCTGTGGTTCCCGTAAATCTTCACCAGCTCCAAGGCAGCTGCCATCAACTCAACTAATATAACTGCAAACTACTTAAAAACAAAGACCAAAAAAAAGGTACGGATGAAGTTCCCTCAAATTGGCAGAGGCCACCTTGTCCTGAGTAGTTTCATTGCATTCATATCAGTTGTTTTTCAATCACCTGGCAATTTCAGTTACATAAAACATTTGATTCACCAACCCTGATAATTAAGTGTGGTGTTACTATAAAAGGAAGTCACTGGTTAGCTTAAACTAAATTTCAAACAATATGCAAAATTTAAAATGCCTTGCCCTAAACGTTGAGATACCATTGCTTAATAATTATATAATTGCTGGAGAAAATTATATAAAATATTTTAAAGTATTGTTATAGTGACTATATTTTCCAAACAGAGAATGAAAATACAGGTTCTGATAACATTTTTTCAGGAAGAGGAAGAGCACTTCTGGATGCAAGAGGTATTCCAGGGATGAAGTTTGCCAAAATACAGAAATGTGAAAGTCATTTCAGTAGTTTATGGCAGTGTTTCTCACCAAGAAATTGCATTTTTAAAAACAAGCTCCTTGGGGGATTTATGCATACTAGAAATTGGAAACTACTAATCTACCACAATGAAAAACAAGACCATTTAAACTGGAACAATCTTGAATATAAGACTTATTATGTCCTTCACACATCTCCAGGGCTCCCTCCCTCCTTCAGATTTCTGATCAAATGTCATCTTCTCTGAGAGGCACACCATCCTTGATCACCCTAGATAAAATAAAATAGTACACATGTGCTCCCTTCCCCCCCACACACACTCATTCTCTATCCCTCATCCTGTTTTGTTTTTCTTCATTATACTTATAGAAACTTGATTCACTGTCTGTCTTCAGCACCTAGAACAGCACCTGGCACATAACGGATGCTGGAAAATCCTTGTTGAATGAATAAATGAATAAACATTTAAGATGACAATAATCACTGGAAGGCATGATCTGCTTTCCTCACTCAAGATTATTGTGTCTATGAAATACAACACTGGCCATCTCCGGGAAGTGGAATTAGGGGCTTTTTTTTTTTTTTTTTACATTTTTTTCCCTTAAATGTTCTACAATAAACATGTACTACTTACATAACAGAGAAAGAATAGTTTTTCATAGAAAGCATATTTTTAAATATTATGTATATACTCTGTTCATATGTCTGAATTCATCTTCATACTTACCGCAATAAGCTAAAAATTCTCCCATCAAACTGTCATGGTATTAACTAACCATTCCCTAAATAAAACATAAAATAACTCACCTTGGGGATCGCCATAATCACACCACAGATCAGTGCAGTTGAGATAAGGGAGAAGATCAGAATGTTTCTTCTCCCCAAACTGTCCATCCCCAAGCACACGAACATGTAGGCAGGAATTTCCACTGCGCCTGTCATTGAGCGAAAAGGCCCTCTATAAGCTGTGGTGGCCAACTGTACAAGGGGACCCCGCCTTCTAACTCACCACCCAAAAGGAGTGATCAGCCCTCTCCCGGCTTCCAGGGTCCTCTAAGAAATATCCAACAGCCGCCTGAGAGGCGGCAAGCCCTACCACTTTTAAACTCACTGCAGCAAGGGAGGAGGACATTTCCTGTGAAATGCACTAATGTTCACATAATCCGCCCGGCACTTATCCCCTGTCCTAGGGACTTTATCCCCTACAAGCCTGTAAGCTCTCCAGGACATGGCATGGTGTCTGGAGGACCAGCCTGTTTAATGAATACATAAGTAAATTAATAGACAACATTGATAATTTCTGGTCTTTGGTTTCTTACTCTTGGCAGAACTAGAGAGAAATTTTTGTATGAGTAACTTCAAACTTACAAACTAAAGTATAAAATTCAGTGTCGGCTAGATCCATAAGCTAATGACAACTGCTTGATGGATTTTAAACCTAAAAGTAAGCATTTTAAAATCTAATATGAATCCCCTAAGAACAAGGATACTTTATCTTTTTTTTTTGTGAGGAAGATCAGCCCTGAGCTAACATCTGATGCCAATCCTCCTCTTTTTTCTGAGGAAGACTGGCCCTGAGCTAACATCCCTGCCCATCTTCCTCTACTTTATATGGGACGCCACCACAGCATGGCTCGACAAGCAGTGCATCACTGCGCACCCGGGACCCGAACCTGCGAACCCCAAGCCGCTGTAGCGGAGCGCGAGCACTTAACCGCTTGCCCCACCAGGCCGGCCCCAGGGATACTTTATCTTGGACCTCTTTTCCCTCTACCATAACAAAAAATAAAGAGCTGAATCCGTAAGTCCATAATGGACTTAAAAGCCCTTCCCTTGAAGAACCGAAGTTTGAATCTTAGGTTCAGAACACAAAAGCTTTATATCTATCGGCCAGAACGAAACAAGGAGCAAGCAAGATCTCTCAGCACACCCCGCAATCTCCTTTGGGAAACTGTCACTGTTTACCAGCCTGGATCCTCCACATCATGCAAAGTTCTGTTGTTTCCTCCCTCTGCAGTTTGCCTAATCTCAGGACACTGCCCGCCACTGCGTATTAGGAGTGATGTGAATTTCTCCATTCAACTACAGAATGTTACAAGCACCTGGAGAGGCAGGTCTGGATCTACATGTCTCCCACAGCTTCTAGAACACATCACAGGGGTGCACACATATTTTCTGAGTGAATATTCTTAGTAGTGCATCAGAAATTAAACTCAGTTGCAGCTGCTTAGTTAATAACTGGCTCAGGCAAAGGCACCCAAAAGAAAATTCTGAGCCCAGGTTGAGAGACAGTCTCTCTCCCTTTCATTAATGAAAAATAAACAGCTTGGGAGGAAACACCTCCTTTCATGGACCCTACTGTGAGGTCCATGCTTGTGGGCCAGGAGGGTACGTACATCCATCACTCTACTTTTTTATTGTTTATTTTTTTAGTGAGGAAGATTCTCTCTGAGCTAATATCTGTTGCCAATCTTCCTCTTTTTTTTGCTTGAGGAAGATTTTGCCCTGAGCTAACATCTGTACCAATCCTCCTCTATTTTGTATGTGGGTCACCGTCACAGCACGGCTTGACAAGTGGTGTAGGTCCATGCCTGGGTTCCGAACCTGGGCCGCCAAAGTGGAGCACACCAGACTTAATCACTACGCCATGAGGCCAGCCCCTCTACTGTTTTTTTAAGAGTTTATCAAGCACTTTTCGAGATCAAATAAGGCAATGATCCTTAAAAGAGCCTCATGCGAGTAGGCCTGGATTATTATCCCTACTTTACAACTAAAATGAAATGATCTGAGCCAAATGAGTAAGTGACAGCTCAGGGGCTGGAATAGAGGTCTTCGGGAGCCAAGGCCTCTTTCCTGCAGCCTCCCTCCCCCATCGCCTCCCTCCATGTCTGACTCAGGGCTCTCCTGTGTGCAGGTCCACCAACCAACTTCCTGGAGTCTAGCAAAGCTTGCAGCAACTGTGAAACAGCTGAGGAGACATTTAAAGTACTACTGTAACTAATGTCACTACACTGGTGTTTCTTGAGTTGCTGCTTCAGGATACCAATACTACATCTAATTTTTGGCTTGACTATATCTGGGATAGAAAGGATGCAAGCAATGAGCCCCAACCCTTCTGGGATTAGGACAATGTGCCATTTCTTTCTTCACTTTATAATACATAATCTCTCTAATCACTGAGACCCCATTCTGCTCCTATCTCCACATAACCCCAACGGTGTGTCTTGAAGCTACTGAAGCATTTGTCACCTGCAAGGGGCACAAAACCAGAGCTGAAATTCCCACCAGCCCCAAACCATCTCAGGAGATTAAAACTCATTCAAAAATTTCACAGTGTAGCAGTATTGACTAGAAGCACCTGTCAGCAAGAGGACTACTGGGAAGGGTAATGACATGGAAAATCCAAGACAGTAGAGAATATAAAACCATGGATATTTGTCTTGGAAACATTTTTATATTTATGAGATTGCCAAGCTTCTTGAGAATTTATATCAAAATTAAGAATCTATATAATAATGATCTAAAAATCCACCTTTCCTAAGCTTCCCCCTGTCACACCCCACCCCACTTGACTCTCCTACCATTTGCTGCTCTGTTCTAAGAATACTGCGCCATTTCTCAAACTGACATATAGAATGGGTCTGAAGTCAAGACGGGCTCCTTCCACAAACTTGTCGGTTTGCCCAAAAAGAGAGTAAAGTTTTTTCTTAAAATGACTTCTCTCATAATTCCTGCTATGTCATAATAAACAAAAACAGATGTGCCATCAAAGCACTTTAATGAGAAGAGATAATATCAATGTATAAAAATTTTAAAGCAAGATTTTCTGAGGATAATATCAAATATAGACGGCCCACAGGGAAAGAACCAGGAGTTAAGACTAGATGGCCAAATGCAGATTTCTAATATTTCTCTCACATTTGGCATGAATTTGGTTTACCCTAGGAGTCACGTCTCAAGCTATCCCAGCAGTATCTGATGTCATTTTAACCTGCTACTAAAATGAAAGAATCATGACGATGTAAATTATAGCTGCATGTATTTAAATTATTTTACTGGCTAAAATTTCTACATTAAGGACATTTGAAGGTAGAAAGATCTCCAAGACATATTCAATTTTAAAAGGACAGCAACTTACAAAGAACAATATGTCGTGAATGATCTCATTTATGTTAAAATATAAAACATTTATCTGCACAAATGTATGGAAATGCATAGAAAGAGATCTGAAAGGGTACAAGCCAAACATAATAGAAGTTACCTCTAAAAGAGAGTTCTGAGATGGGGATGGGCTTAAAGGAAGGAAGCAAGCAAGGAGAAGAGGCAGAAAAGGAAGGAGGGACTAAATTCTTCTGACTGTTCACGTTTTTTGAAAAGAAAATATATACGTGTTACAGTATAATAACACTAAAAGAGACCATAATAATATAGTTGGCAGTATTGTTCCTGGTAGAAAAAAAGACAATAAAAACACGGTAGGAATTTCACTTCATTGCCACACTTAAATATAATGTAACTACTTACCCATGAGGAAGAGGTTTAAATATTCATTGCCTCCTAAATTAACAGAATTCAAGGAGAAGGAGTAGAATCCCAAAGCCCCTGTGAACCAAATCAGCCAAAGAGTAAGTGTCCTTGTTCCAATATTCCAGTCATAAAACAGATCTAACAGGTTGTGCTTCTTAACTTCAGTGGTTTTATTACCAACAGGACCATTTAGATCCAGTGATAAAAGTTCTGACAGTTTACAGGAGCTGGCCCTATTCCACTTGGCCATCGTATCAACAACTTTTTGTGCTTCTTCATATCTTCCTTCTGAGAGAAGCCAAAAAGGTGTCTCCGGGAGAATCCAACAGCACAGGACAAAGGGGACAGTCACTGTGGAGAGGACTATCTGATAGATCCACCAGGTCCTGACCAAGTAGCCCATCAAAGCCACCATCATTGCCCCAAGGGCAAAAAAGGAATGCATATGGATGGATGCCCACGTCCGAGATTTCATGCCAATAAATTCCGTCACATAGACAAACACCACTATGAGATAGCCACTTGCAGCCTGAAAAACAAAGGAGGGGGGTGGTCTAGACTTAAGGTCACATTTATAGCTATGGAGGAGTCTGATCTCTCTGCAAATTACACATAGGCAAGAAAGAAAATGACAAAGAATTGTTTTCTGAAGCCCATATCACATTTATAAAATGGCGTTTAACCCAATTCATCCTTTTTCTTTAAATGGGTCCTTTCATTCTTCCTCCACCTTCTCCAACCCAAATGAGAAGTTATGTATGATATAAATTTTAGACACTACCTTTTGTTTCATTTAAATGTTCCCTTATAGTGTGAATTTATTTCTCAGTTCCTTGTAAATGTGCCTATCAATTTATCTACGTACAAGAGGTCCTTATTATCAAATCCTAAATTGTTAAATGGGACAAATAAAGTATGGACAAAAAAAATGGGGATAAAAACATGGGAAGAAAAAAGATTTGATTAAAACTTTATTTTGACAGGCAACAAAGAAAAAATAGACATATTGGACTTCATGAAAATTAAAAACTTCTGTGCATCAAAAGACACCATCATCAGAGTGAAAAGGCAACCCACAGAATGAGATATTTGTGAATCACATATCTGATAAAAGGTTAATATCCAGAATATATAGAGAACTCCTAAAACTCAACAACAAAACAAACAATCCAATTGAAAAATGAGCAAAAGATGTGGATTTCTCCAAAGAAGATATATGAAAGGCAAAAAGCATGTGAAAAGATGTTCAGCATCACTAAACATTAGGGAAATGCAAATCAAAACCACAATGAGATACCACCTTATAGCCATGAGAACGGCTACTATCAAAAAAATACAGAAATCAGAGTTAGCTCTGATGGTCTAGCAGTTAAAGGTCAGCTGTGTTCCACTTCAGCAGACTGGGTTCAGTTCCTGGGCACAGAACCACACTGCTCGTCTGTCAGTAGCCATGCAGTGGCAGCAGCTCACACAGAAGAACTAGAAGGACCTGCAACTAGAATATACAACCACGTACTGGGGCTTTGGGGAGGAAAAAAAAGAGAGGAAGATTGGCAAAGGATGTTAGCTCAGAGTGAATCTTTCCCAGCAAAAAAAAAAAAAAAAAAAAACCTATCATTGCCACATAGATTTAAAAAAAAACAAAAACAGAAAATAACAAGTGTTGGCAAGGATGTGGAGAAATTAGAACCCTTGTGCACTGTTGGTGGGAATGTAAAATGGTACAGCTGCTATGGAAAACAGTATGAGGATTTCTCAAAAAATTAAAAAATAGAATTACCATATGATCCAGCAATCCCACTTTGGGTATATACCCAAAAGAATTGAAAGTGAGATCTCAAAGAGATATTTATATACCCATGTTTATAATAGCATTATTAACAGTGGCAAAAAGAAGCAAATTTAGAATACTGTATGATTCCACTTATATGTGGTACCCAGAGGTATTCAAAATCATAGAGACAGAAAGTAGAATGTTATTTTCTAGGGGCTGGGGGGAAGAGGGAATGGGGAGTTCTTGTTTAATGGGTATAGAGTCTCAGCTTTGCAAGATGAAAAGAGTTGTGGAGACAAATGGTGGTGACGGTTGCAGAACAATATGAATGTACTTATTATCACTGAACTGTACACTTAAAAATGGTTACGCTAGTAAATTTTATGTTATGTGTATTTTACCACAATAAAAAAAATTGAGGAGGGCCGGCCTGGTGGCATAGTGGTTAAGTTCGCGTGTTCAGCTTTGGCAGCCCGGAGTTTGCAGGTTCGGATCCCAGGTGTGGACCTAGACACCGCTCATCAAACCATGCTGTAGAGGCATCCCACATACAAAATAGAGGAAGACTGGCACTTCTTCCTTGTCCCTAAGGATGTTAGCTCAGGGACAATCTTCCTCATCAAAAAAAAAAAAAAAAATTGGGGAAAAAAACTTTATTTTGAAAATAGGCCTATCTTTAATTTAACAAAATTTAGATTATAATAACAATATGTGGTCATTCTTGGAATAAACAAAGAATGAATCAAATGATGGATTTTTTGGTTGGTGGGGTGGTGGTAAAAGGATTAGAATTCTTCCTACAATATTATTTCACATTTGACTTTTATAACACAAATCATAAACTTAATTTTTGCAAAATTATTCTAGAATGCCATTGATTTCCCCAAAGGCCTCTCTTAGCCTGTTGATATTCAAATCATATTCTTTTGAAGGCTCATCATGTCATTATCCTGGTGGATGTTAATTTCTTCAAAAGTTAACTGGTCTAGTTCTGCCAGATCCCACTTGGTCAAGGGATTTGGGTCGGATTCAGACAGTTTTTCCCCATTGCTTTCAAAGACTTTTTGTAATCAAGCACCTTCAGTAAGATCTGCAATTTCACCTTGCATCAGAGTCACAAAGAGGTTACCCTACAAGAAATTTCCTGTGATGAGAGAGGATTGACACTAGCAGTAAGTAAGCAAGGAAGTGCTTGATGGGGACTATTGTGTTAATGGTCAGTTTAATATTTTTGTGACAACAGTTTTTATTTCCTCGTGCAACCTTGTAATTGCAAGACTCAGATCGTGAACGTTGATATTGAGGACTCCTGTATCCAAAAATCTAATTGTTTGGTAAATGTTTACTGCTGTTACAGCAAAGAAAGAAAGATTGTAATAACCTTCAAATACTACAAATTTGCCCCGTAAGTTAAGCTGTAACATCAGTCCCCAACACGTTTTTTTCAAAGCTAATGCTTTCTGAGTCCACTCCCACCTCCTATTGGTTACTTCTGTCACTGGGTTCAGACAATCCATACACAACTGCCTAAATAATTCCAAAAGACTCTGAATCCATTGACACCTGTCACCTCCACTCATAACACTCTATTCCTCACATCTACCCTGACCCCACCCCAACAGAGCAGCCAGAATGACCACTTTACCCGACCTGAACCCCTTCTGCGGATTCTCATTGCCTCTAGGAAATCTCTTTATCACCCTACAAGGCCCTGCCTAATCCCTCCCTCCCCTTCAGCCTCATCAGTGTATTTCGCCTCCCCTCTATTCTCCAGACATCTGGATCTTCAACTCTTTCTCATCTCAGGGCCTTTTTACTTGCTGCTCCCTCTGCCTGGAATGTTTTCTTACCCATCCCTCAGAACTAAACAGCCCCTGACTCTCCAGACACCCCACCCCCTCTCCCCCACTGTTATGCCTCCACTGTCAACATTGTATGTATTTTTGAAGATGGCCCATCATTGTCTTGCCTTCCCACTACACTGTAGGGTTATTGAAACAGCCTGGTCTGGTTTACTTAGCATTACACTCTGTAGGAAGATCAATAAATGTGTTGAGTGAATGAAGCTGCCTGCACCTCCCCTACTCAGATCCACCACAAATACATTGCCCACGAAAATAAAAGGAAAGAGCCACAGAAAATTAAGGCCACATTTTACAGATAGTCTATGGGTGGCTGTCTCATTTTCTCAGCTCTGGAAATCGACACCTTGGTATTTTCTAAGACTAAAACAGATATTTTCAGAATTACCTTCTGAAGTCTCCCAAAAGAGGACCTACACACTCTCTTGATACCTGTGCCTCTGTTGAACCATCATTCCCATCAGAAGGTTTCTTATCAAACCTCACTCGGCAGTTACAAAGCCATTTCCTCTTACTCTGTCTTCAGTGGAGACAGAACTGCTGGTTGTTATCTTTTGTAGTAAAAACTCTTTACATTCATAAACATATATATACTTTTTTTTTAAGGTGCAACACCTTCGATTCTCCTAAATCTTTTTTTTTATGCATCTTCCCTATCCTTGGCCACCTGTGTGGCTTCCTGGGAACCCTTTCCAGCCATCAGTGAAGACTCCAAACTGAACACACCACCTTGCTCTCTGAGGGGGTGCAACGACCTCTTCTGAGACCAAAGCCCTCGACTTCTCTCTGGACCCTTGGATCATCTATCCTGGTGAGAAAGGATGCATGCCCTGCTCTGCATACAGCAAGATCACAAGTTCTTCCCACAGACAAAAACCTCACTCCATTATCCTTGATCAGTGACCTCCAAATAGAATCAACACTGCTGTTGTTTGGTAGTTTGGAACCTGTCTGAAAGCCTCACTAAGTGTGGAAACAGGTTCCTCACTCACTGGTCCACTTCCAATAACAGTCACCATCGTAAAAAGTGCCAGGTGCTGTACCATGGATGTTTACTCTAATCTCACTGAATCCTGATAACAACCCAGTGAAACAGGTATTATTTTCTCCAGATTACAGATTAGAAACTAAGGCTCAAAAATGATAACATATTTGCCCAAGGTTACACAGCTTAGAAGCCAAAATAGGGCAAAGCTGGTATTCACACTCATGCCCTTTCCACCAGACTCCCCTGTTCTCATAACAGAAAGGTCTAATCCTTTCTTGTTTTCATTCTTACTGCACAGGATACAAATGACTTTCTTTTTTTTTGCTGAGGAAGATTCACCCTGAGCTAATATCTGTTGCCTATCTTCCTCTTTTTTGTATGTGAGCCACAACCACAGCGTGGCCACACACAAGTGGTGTAGGTCCACGCCTGGGAACCAAACCCTGGGTTGCCGAGCAGAGTGCACTGAACTTAACCACTAGGCCATGGGGCCAGCCCCTACAAATGACTTTCTTAACCATACACCTTCACCATCTGTTTGGCTCATGCATACAGGGCCTGACTAGACCAATATAATTGCTCAGAAATAAAACAATGCCTTAGTAATTGTGGAATGTGGATCATGTGCCAGGCACAGAGTTAAACAAAAAGTTTCTGCCTGGGAAGCAACAGTTTTTCATTTTAATGAATTCATTTCTAAACATAGAGCATTAATATTCCACAAAAAGACTGCTGCAGTGGAGTGAACAAGGATTAGTCCTTGATCTCTCTCACTAGATTCCAAATGAGCAAAACTAAGAGACTGAAGGTTTAATATGAAAATACTGCAGTAGAATTAAAGAGGTAAAAAAAAACACCCAACTCACCATCGCAAGAAGAAAACGTGCGACCACAAAGCTGTAATAATCGAATGTGAATCCCGCTGCAACGCCAAAGAAAAACATGCCAATGCTTGTGGACCACAGGACAAGGCGTCTGCCGATCCTGAAAAATAAGAATCACGCAGTGGAAGAAGCAAGGTACGGTTGTAACAGTTTAAACACCCACTCCAATTCATGAAAGGTGAGTGGTACCTATATTTTTAATAGCTTATGTATTTGATTGTTGTTATTCATTCATTTATTTTGAGCAAATCATCAGTTAACACACAATTTCTTCAAGAGGCCAGTCTTTCTGGAGGGGCCTCTACCTAGCTGCTAATATACACACACGATCAGTCTGGGTGATCCCCAGAGGACCTCCTAATCTGGGATTGGAGGGATGAAGAGGGAGGATTTGTCATTTTCCTCCCGAGACCTCCCGTCTCTGCCTTCTTGGATCATCTTCCCTGTTGGGCTTGCTTTGCTCACCAAGGGTGAGGCAGCTGTCGCTAAGCCCCTCTGAAAACAGAGGTCTGGCTACCTTATGCTTCTCGAACAAGGTGCTCACTTGCCCTGTATAATCGAGAGGGGCATCTCTTTGTCTAAAAAGCAAACAAATTATATTCCTGACAAATTTTTTAAAATTGAGATATAATCCACATGCAATAAAATTCAACCTTTTAAAATACACAACTCAGAGCCTTTTAGTATATTCACAGAGTTGTGTGACTCTCACCACTATCTAATTCCAGGACGTTTTCATCACTCCAGGAAGAAACTCTGCAGCCAGGAGCCATCATTCCGTATTCTCTGCTCCCTCTAGCCCCTGACAACCATTGATCTACTTTCTGTCTCTATAGAGTTGCCTCTTATGGACTTTTCATATAAACGGAGTCACACCATCTGTGTACCTGGCTTCTTTTACTAAGCATTATGTTTTCAAGGTTCATCCACGTTGTAGCATGTATCAGTACTTCATTCCTTTTTATGACTAAATAACGTTCCATTGTATGGATATACCACATTTTGTTTATCTATTCATCAGCTGATGGACATTGGATTGTTTCCACTTTTTGGCTGAGTAATACGCCCATGAACATTCATGAGCAAGATTTTGTATGAACTTATGTTTTCAATTCTCTTGGGTATATACAGAGAAGTGGAATTGCTGGGTCATATGATAACTCTATGTTGAACTTTTAGGAACTGCCAAACTGTTTTCCAAAGTGGCTGCCCCATTTTTACAATCCCACCAGCAATGTATGAGGGTACCAATTTCCCCACATCCTCCACAACACTTGTATTGTCTGTCTTTTCGATTATAGTTATCCTAGTGAGTGTGCAAGGGTATCTCATTGTGATTTTGATTTTCATTTCCCTAATGATTAACGATGTTGAGCATTTTTATATGTGCTTATTGGCCATTCTTTAGAGAACTATCTATCCAAATCTTTTGCCCAGTTTTAAACTGGGTCTTTTTATTGTTGAGTTATCAGAGTTCTTTATATATTCTGGATACTAGACCCTTATTAGATATATGATTTGCAAATATTTTCTCCCTGTGGTTATCCCTGACAGTTTTAAGGCAAAAGAACATAGTCTTGAGATTTCAACCAACAGGTTTGACAGGTATAGCAGAGGATATGCAAGCAAATAAGAAACTGTCATCTTCACGCTCTCAGCCTTCTCTGCTCCGACACAGGATTGTTGGCCCTATACACAAACATTTCCCAATCTCATTTGAGCCTTGAATGTCATTTAAAATGATTTTTTACCCATCCCTGATCAACCCCCTCTACTACCCCCAGTGTCTCCACTCTCAGCAGATGAGCAGCCACCTCCTGCAGGGAACAGAGACCATGAAAGACAAAGCCCCACAACTCCCTGCTCTGCCCCTTGTCAACACAACCTGTATCTGCATTCAGCCTGCTCTTCTTCCCTCCCCTCTAGAGACACATGCCCTGTTCTCTCCAAGTACCATTCTGCATCTTTGTATTGGATCATGCCTCTTCCCACCTCCTCTGAGACCTCATTCTACCAACTACTTCTTTGTCATCTGTCTTTCCCTTTCCTCTGACTCCTTCCTTTCAGTTTAAGTCTCTTCTAACCAAAGACAAGAACCTTCTCTGGACCCCACCCCTCCTTCAGCCACCTTGCATCTTGCATTGCCTCCCCTGACACAGTTATCAGAAGGGAGTATCTACTTCCCCAGATCCTACATTTCCTCAGCCAATGACCGCCACCAGGTTGCAACTGACTTTCCTGAGATCGCTTTACAGTCCCCAGGGACCTCCAGGTTGCCTCTCTGGGTCCTTTGCTGCCTGTCTTCTCTAGTGGCACTGACCATGCCTGCTCCTCAGGGGCCTGCTCTCCCTCGGCTTGCAGAACACCACCCTCCAGGTTGGCTCGTGTTTCCCCAATGGCCCACCTGCCTCAACGCTGGCATCTCCTAAGGTTCTCTGCTGCACACTCTCTGCCCTTGTGATGTCATCTACTTCCCTGGCTCTGATTCCTAAATATGTGCTATTAACTGCCCGCTTGCCTTCGGGTCCCAGCTGCTCTTCTCCACTTGAATGCCCTGCAAAGCTGAAATCTTCTGTTTTTGTCGTTATAGTTGGTATTAATTTTTATTTTCTCTTTTGTTCTTAATCCAGGGATAGTACATGCTCATTGGAAATATGCAAACGTTTTCCTCTCTTCCAAAGCAGCTCTCTCCCTCATATTTCCTGAGTTGGTCGGCAACATCACCTGCCCTCCAGGTTCCTAAACTTTAATGCATTCCTCCCCCAACTCCTCTCCCTCCTGCATATTGGTCGCCAAATTATGTCAGTTTAAAAATGCCTCCCAAATATGTATCCATCTTTCCTTCTCCGCTTCTCCTGTTTTCATTCAAGCCTTCAGCATTTCTGACATCATCCGTCCCAATAGCCTCCCAACCAATCCTCTTAATGTCACACCAGCACACTCCCCAGACTTCCTAGAAGTAAAACAGTCCTGGTCAGGATTCTGTCTCTTGTTGTTTCCTTTATCCATCCCACACGTCTTCCAAACTGACCTCCCCACTATTCCCAGAACGTGCCAGGCTCTCTCATGACACAAAGTTGCTCCTTCCCCTTGGAAAGTCTTCTCCATTGAGCTTTTAGAACCCAGGTCAACCGTGAAGCTTTTTCTGACCATCCTCTGGGGTCTTGTGGCAGAAATTAAGAGACAGTTAGGTATACAGGCCTGGGTTCAAATCCCAGCCCCACCGCTCACTTTCGAAATGAACTTTCTGTGCTTCCTTTTCCTCATCAGTAAAAGAGGGCCAATAGTGCCTCCCTCTTTAAGTAATAAAATGAGATAACACACAAGACATTTAGAATAGTACCTTCTGCATAGTAAATTGTCCACAAATGTTAGTTGTTATTACTTTAAAAGCATTTACCACATTTCATCGAAATTATCTGTTTAGAAGTCTGTCTCCTCTACTGTTAGATCCATAAGGATGGGATCAGATCTTATTTCTTGGCTTTTTTATTACAATATATCATACATAAGAATATATAAAAACATATATATATAATTTAGAGATTAATAAAGAATCAAACACCTATGAAATCACAACCCAAACTAAGAAAGAGATCATTGCCAGCCTCCCAATAGCTTCTCACACCTCCCTTTGTGATTTCAAACCCCTTGCCCCCTTCTAGGAGGAACCATTATCCTAATTTTGGCAATAATCAATTCCTTGCTTTTCATTCCATTTTACCACTTTTATAAGAAAGCCAAAAAAATATAGGTTACTTTTGCTAGTTTTTAAACTTTCTATAATAGAACAGTACCATATGTATTATTTTATGACTTGCTTCGTTCACTCAACGTTATTTTTGGAGATTCATCTCTGTTGTTTTGCGTGGCTGTGGTTCATTCATTTCATGGCCACATATCCCACTGCAAAAAGACACTGCAATACATGGGTCTAAGATATGGTGGAAGGACGTTTGAGTTGTTTGTAGTGCCAGGCTGTTAGGAACAATGCGGTAGGAACATTCTTATGCATATACCCATATGGACATGTGCAAGAGTATCTCCAGGGCACACGCCCTAGAACACGTGGGCTGTACACATCACCAACTTCTCTGTATAATGCTAAACCATTCTTCAAAGTTCTCACACCAGCAGGGTGAGAGATTCTATTACTCCATATCCTCACCAACTCTTAGCATTACATGACTTCTTACTTTTGACAACTGGTGAAAAATAAATGGTATGATTATATATCATTGACACCCTTTTCATCTTTTCATTAGCCATTTGGATTTTTCTTTTATGAAGTGACTTCAGAACTTTTTCTCATTTTTCTATTGGGTTGTCTATCTTTTTTCTATTGATATAAAAATCCTTTGACTATTCTGGATCCTGGTCCTTTAGTTATATGTTAAGCAAATATTTTCTCCCTCTTTCTCTCTCTCTGGCTGTGTCTTTCTTCTCTTAATAGCGTCTTTGATGGACATAAATTCTAATGAAGTCAAATTTATCCATCTTTTCCTTCATGGTTAGCGCTTTTTGTGTCTTAAAAAAAGTTTTCTCTTCCATTAGGTTCTGAAAATATTCTCCTTATATTATCTTCCTAAAGTTACATAGTTTTGCCTTTCATACATGTACCTTTAATCCTTCTGGAACTGATTTTTGTACTGTAAGGTGTGAGGAAGGGACTCCAATTGTATTTTCTTCTATATGGCTAGACAGTTGTCCCAGCACCACTTATTGATACTTTTCTTGCTGATATACAATGTCTTCTTTGTTCCATAGTTATGTCTATGAACGCACTAGTCTGTTTCAGGGTCCTCTAAGGGACCATCAATGTGTTTATCTAACAATCTATCTATTTACCTTAATGATTTGATTCTTGAAGTTTGTCATTTTCTCCATAAAGGGCTTACATACATTTTGTTAGATTTATCCATATATATTTTATATTTTTAGGCTTTTGCAATGGCATTTTTTAATTTTTATATTTGTTACTGGTATATAGAGATATAATTAATTTACATATATTGATAATATATCTGGAAAACTCATTAAATGCTTATTAATTGTAATAATTCAGCTGCAGGATTTTCTTCATGCAGAATTGTAAAGGCTGGAAATAATGACTTTTTTCTTCCTTCTTTCCCCTTATGCCTTTCTCCCTCCCTCTCCTTCTCTTGCTCTTTTTCTCTCTCTCTTTTGCTTTATAGCACTGGCTAGACTCGCCGGTACAATGCTAATAGAACTGGTGTTTCACACATCCTTGTCTGCTCCTGATCTCAAAGGAAAAGCTTCTAATATTTCACAATTAACATGTTCATGGTAGATCTTTGTGTAGATACCCGTTATCATGTTAAGGACATTCTTCTATTTTTAGTTTTTATCATGAATGGATTTTGAAATTTATCAAATGCTTTTCTTGTATTTATTGAGTTGATAATATGAATTTTGTCCTCTAACCTGTTAATGTAGTAAATTCCACTGGTTAGTTTCTAATATTAAATATGTTTTGGACCTTATCCCTCTGCTTCCATGAATTTGAGTCTCTCATATTTTCCATGTCTCTCTGAGTTCTATTATTGATAATTTTTTTCTGAGCTATCATACATTTTACTAATTTTTTCTTTGGTTGTGTATAACAGGTTGTTACAACTACCCAGGAAGATTGTTATTCACTTTTGTTTTTTTGTTTCTAGATGGTCTAGGTAGTTACTTTTCAATTTTATGTCATTTTTATATACAATTTTCAGATTTTTATCAATATTTTCAAGCTTGTCTTCTATTTATTTAAGAATAGTAAACATAGTTATTCTATTATCTATGCCTGATAATTCCAGTACTTGAAATCTTTGTGTAGAAGTCTCTTTCTGCTGCCTATTGTTTCTGCTGGTGTCTTTTAATCATGTTTTTTGGCTTTGACCAACCTACTTATTTTCCTTAAAAAATAATTTATGAGAATCCTCTCGGGCTAGGATGATGGCAAATGTTGGGTCTTGAATTTGGTTTTCCTCAACTTTTAAGTTAATATGTTAATCTGTTACTGTTTAATGGATGCTGGCAGAAGACACAAGACTCCTGGGACAGAGATAAAGGACATCATTACTTACAACACAGCAAGAGCAACAATACTAGCACAACACTAGTAGAGCATCAGCATATTTGTGTCAGTGCCCGTTGCCCCCAAGTCCCACAGGGACAACACAATGAGCTCAGATGACACCAGCACATGTAGTAGGTTGCATTACAGAAGAGAAACACTGGACTTGAGAAATCTACTGCTTTTATAGTAAGCAGTGAGCAAGCTCGCTCTTTGTCTGTGGTAGAGAGAGGACATTACCCGATCTTGGAAGGTTATCAGCTGCATAAACAACTCTGAGAAATGGCCCATGCAAAAGAGTGGTCAGCAACTTGCAGTCTTGGCACACCCAGAAAGATACATAGAAGAATTCAAGCGACCCAAGGAGGGAGGCTCTCCACCAGCTTCTTAGGTCTTTTCTGTCCATCTTACAGTCATTGAGCTCCAATTGAAAGAAATGATTCACAACAACATCTAAGACTTTCCACTTTGTTCCAGAAAAGCCTACTTTGTTCCTCTCCCCACTGACAACCTAATTTCCACACCTCCCAGGAAGACAGTTATGGAGCAGGAGATTCTTAAGCATTGAAACATAACTTCAGCCACTAAATAATAACTAGACTCCACTTCTGCTCCAATTTCATTATACAAATGCCACCTCCTGGAGGGGATGTGGGTGCGGGGGGAAACACCTGGCACTCCTCCCTTTAGGCTTCCATAGTATTTGCCTCCATTGCTTTCACTGCTAGTATGGCCCTGGCCACAACAAAGCCCTATAATTCTTCTTTGGACATGCTTGTCAGCCCCATTAGACTGGCACACCCCAAGGGCAGGGATTTCTGACCTAAGTTGCTGTCTTTAAGTTCCCAGTACCCAGCACATGCCAGTAAAATTCACAACTATGGAGACCAAATAAGTTCATCACTGTGCTTTAGCACAGGTACTTAGAGTGTGGTCCATATTCATACAGAGATGAACTTTGCTTTATTTTAAGAGCTACACATTCATTTTAATGTGTATTTTTTAAAAATATGGCTGATATATCAAACCCACAGTTTCATAGATTTCACTGCTTAGGACCAAGCTACACCTCTTAAAAAGCAAGACTATTTAAAGATTTTATTTATTTTATTTTTTGCCCCCAAAGCCCCAGCAGATAGTTGTATGTCATAGCCGCACACCCTTCTAGTTGCTGTACGTGGGACTCGGCCCCAGGATGGACAGAGAAGTGGTGCCTCGATGCGCACCCGGGATCCGAACCCGAGCCGCCAGCATCGCAGCGCGCGCACTTAACCACCAAGCCACAGGGCCGGCCCAGCAAGACTATTTAAAGAAAAAAATATTCAAAGTAATAATTAGTTATCTATTGAGTGGTTATATGTGGAAGGTACTTTTTCTGTATCAATTTTGTAATAACCCTTTGAGCTGAATGCTATTATTTTCATCACCAGCTTACAAACAAGATTTTGAAACACAGTTTAGGCAATTTGCCCAGGGTCCACAGCTAATAAATGGTAGAACCAGGACTTGAACCCAGGCAGACTGTCTTCAGAACCCATTCTCTTACCACTATGTTATTTTGTGTCCCTAAATAACAGATCAGCAAACAGGTAGGTATTTGGATAAGAGGTATGAAAATGACTAAAGTTTTGAACATAATTCCCTGTCCCCTAAGAAAATCAGATAGAAAAATGAACCCTACACTGATGCAACAATCCTAAATACTTTATTTTACCTGTCAGAAAGGTAGCCAAAAATCACCGCTCCCAGTAGGACTCCAAGCATAAACATGGGCTGGATCAGCCTTGCGAACCATTCTCGGTTACAGACCAGATCCCACTCGGTCACCACGGTGCTGTTCCATTTACTTTGGTCATAGATGTAGCCATCTGAGCAAGGAAAGCTAGTCTTATGGCCATTATAATCATAGTTCAAACTCGACTTGTTGTCCCTTCGGAACCTGTGACACTTTGTGAGCTCCCAGATCTCACCGTTCTGCAGCTGCACTACAACGCGATCTTCATGGCCTGCGGAAAACAGGGTCCAGACGTCATCCAGCCTCCAACTAGAGATATTGCGGACAAGAACCTGACTCACGTTGCCCGGGGGCCTGCAGGTATGCCGAGGGGACGTTGTCAAGAACACAGAAGCCAAGTAGTGGATACCACAAGAGATGTTCTGGAAGGCACACACAAAATAGAGGAATATCTGGTATCTGCAAAAAGAAGAAAAGCAAGTTATTTTATCTGGCCTATGGGCTAAAAGAGAACATGAGCAAATATGTTTTAGTATATATACACATATTAGGTATATTTAGTATACATATACACATATGTAGGTTAGTATATATATGCATATTACATAGCTCTCTCTGCCTGTTAAGAGGACCTGGAAGCAATGACATCCATTAGCAACACACACACCCAGTGCCCAGATCTTGACGTCTAAATACTATTCTCCAATAAGGAAAAATGGCTGATTCTAAGACCAGGACAGGTAGAATACAAAATAAGCCTGGAGCATCTCAAAACATAAAAATATGGGCATATGTCAAAGGGACACAGGAACCAATCTGAAAGAGCTCCCAGTGGCCAAAGCTGAAACAATTTTAGCAACAAAATAAATAGCATAGTATATCCCAAAGTATAAAATAAATATATGAGTCCATACTGTGATGGTTAATTTTATGTGTCAACAAGACTGGGCCAAGGGGCCTCCAGAGAGCTGGTAAAACATTATTTCTGGGTGTGTCTGAGAGGGTGTCTAGGAGGAGATTAGCATTTGAATCGGTAGACTGAGGAAAGAAGATTGCCTTCACCAACAAGAGTGAGCATCATCCGGTCCACTGAGGGCCTGAATAGAACAAAGGCGGAGGAAGGATGAATTCTCTCTCTCTGCTTGGGCTGAGACATCCATCTTCTCCTGCCTTCAGACATTGGTGCTCCTGGGTCTTGGGCTTTCAGACTCAGACTGGGACATACGCCATCAGCCCTCTGATTCTCAGGCCTTTGGACTCAGACTGAATTATACCACTGTCTTTCCTAGGTTTCCAGGCACATTGTGGGACTTCTTGCCTCCATAATCATATGAATCAATTCCTATAATAAATCTCTTCATATCTGTATCTATCTATCTATCTATCTATCTATCTATCTATCTATCTATCATCTATCTATCTATCTCCTATTGATTCTGTTTCTCTGGAGAATCCTGACAAATATGCCATATTGATATAAATAAATGATTGAACAAATTAATAAAAAGGAGAGAAGAGACAAATCTTATAGTAGAATTCCAACTAATATCTGTAGATATTCTTCCTTTACAGGAAATGAAGCTTAATTCCCCCTCTTTACTGCTTGCAGGTGGGCTAGAATATAGGAAGAAAAGGGGAAAAAATAGTAACTTTACACTAGGGAAATCTGGCAAACACTATGGTAACCAAATGTTGAAAGTTAACATCCCCAGTGATGTTGGGTGGCTATCATGAACCCCCTCACATGATGTGATGAATAGGCACTTCACCTCTGTGGCCTTCTTCCCAAAATCTATAACCCCAGTCTAATCATGAGAAAAACAGCAGATAATTCCAGTTCGGGGGGCATTCTACAGATTGCCTGGCCAATACACCTAAAGACTGTCAAGGTCATAAAAAACAAGGAAAGACTGAGAAACTGCCACAGACCAGAGGAGACTGGGATACCATGACAACTAAATGCAATGAGGTACCCGGGATTGGATCCTAGAACAGGAAGAGGACATGCGTGGGAAAACTGGTGAACTCCACATAAAGTCTAGAGTTTAGCTAATAGTAATGTACTAACATCAATTTCTTATTTTTGACAAATACAACATGGTGATGTAAGATGTTAACAGTAGGGGAAACTGGGTGAGGGGCATAGAGGAACTCTGTACTATCTTTGCAACTTTCCTGTAAATCTAAAATTATCCAAAAATTAAGTTTATTCAAAATTTAAAAAATAAATGTAGGGTCTCCAAATTTAAAGACTGTGATATATTTTCTGAAATAAAAATTGTCTCGGAGCCGGCCAGGTGGCATAGCAGTTAAGTTCGTGTGCTCCGCTTCTTCGGCCTGGGGTTCGCAGGTTCGGATTCCGGGTGCAGACCTATGCACCACTCATCAAGCCATGCTGTGGCGGCATCCCACATATAAAATAGAGGAAGATGGGCACAGATGTTAGCTTAGGGCCAATCTTCTTCACCAAAAAAAAAAAAAAGAAAAATTGTCTCCCAGGGACAACCGGGCACATAGGACTGCAGGGTAGAATATATGAAATTCGGACTGCCCCACGATTTTCCAACCCTGGAATTAAGAGTCAGAACAGCCCCTTTGGGCAGGTGATATCATTATTTAGATTTAAAACAGATTCAGTTCAGACAATGAAGAACGTTACTAGAAAACCACTATAACAGGAAATAGAAAATAGGTCCTGTCAGATCACACTGAGGCAAACTTGCATGTCGATACATGTGATCTTCATCTCCCTTCCTCCTTTTCACACCTGCCCACCCACCTGGTCCTGATGCTCCCTCTCACTATAAGGTGCTTCTGACCACCCTTCAGCTCAGCGGTCCTCAAACTTGTTGGTCCCAGGAGTCTTGATATTCTTAAAAATCTTGAGGACCCCAAGAGGCTTTTCTTTATGTGGGTGATATCCATCAATATTTACGTATTAGAAATTAAAATGGAAAAAATTAAAAATATTTATTACTCCCTTTAAACATAACAATAATAAGCCCATTGCATGTTAACATTAAATAACATATAGCTGTAGTTTTCAAAACAAAATTGGTGAGAAAAGTGGCACTGTCTTATATTTAAAACTTGGATTAATAAGAGACAGCTCATGTCTCATATCTGCGTCTGCCTTCAATCTGAAGCGTTATTACACATCATCTAGCTTCTAGAAAATTCCATTGTACTTTCATGAGAGAGTGAGGGTAAACAAGGCAACGTCTGAGTATTACCATGAAAATAGTTTGAGCCCTGCAGACCCCAGAGATCTACAGATCACAGTCTGAGAACTGCTGGTCGAGCCTCTTCTTTCTAGAGTCCCCTCTCTCCATGTCTCCTTTTTCCCCTCCACACTAACCACCCACTTTCAGCCCCTCTTTCCCATCCTGCCTGCTTCTCTCAGTTCGACCCTGTCTATTTGCTCCCCCTGCTCCACTCTCACTCATTTACTCACTGTCTCTCCCCATTTCTTTCTTTCTCTTCTCTGACCACATTATGCAACCGAAGTACTGTTCCGTTACTTATGTTGACTTTTTTAAAGAACACCAGGTGAATGTCTTCTATTTCTCTATCAAACCAACAACAAAAAAAGTCCCATAAAAGGTTGAATGAAAGTCCCATAAGGGTAGAAATTGTGGTTCAGTCACTTTAGTATTTCCTGTAGCACTTAGCAAGGTGGGTAATGCAGTATATACAGAATGTCATAGAATATCCCAGACTGAAAATGAGCAGCACTGGAGTTAATGCATACTCAGGAATCGGGTAAGGAGAGGTGTCCAAGAGCCCAGTGTATCCAAAAAATTTGACTGGGTTCCCCATCGGTAAAAAAATGAATGTGTGGGGGCCGGCCTGGTGGCATAGTGGTTAAGTTCGAGCTCTCCACTTTGGTGGCCTAGGGTTCCCAGGTTCAAATCCCAGACATGCACTGGCACACTGCTCATCAAGCCATGCTGTGGCAGCATCCCACATACAAAATAGAGGAAGATGGGCACAGATGATAGTTCAGAGCCAATCTTCCTCAGCTAAAAAAGAAGATTGGCAATAGATGTTAGCTCAGGGCCAATCTTCCTCACCGAAAAAAAAAAAATGAATGCATGTGTGTGTGTCTGTGTGTGTGCACAGACATATAAAATGAGCATATATACATACACATATTCACATAATACTCAATTAACATATTATGTATATTGAAATATAAACTCACATATGTATATTTACTTATATACATACATTCATATGCAAAATGGGTGTTTTTATGGCAATCCAAAGGATCATCTTTGCCCGCCATAGGGGTGAACACACCCCACTTTGGACACTATCGCAAGTGACAATGCTAGGCAAAGTCACAGCAGTGGTGCTGTGAGGTTATCAAGCTGGCGACCTCCCCAAGTCCTCAGGATGACTGCCAAGCTGGTATGTGGCCACCATTCCTCCTTCTCATAGAACCTCATGTGGATAAATGACAAGTAAAGTCGAATCAGTTTAAAGCGTTGTGGCTATCAGGACACCGCAGGCTGGTGGTGCTGGCCACAGTTTCAAAGCTGAACTCTGTATCTTGCCCTGGCCCTGGAGCTAGTTCAGAGAAGAAAAACACAAAGCAAAAGGCAGGCAGGAATTAAGTGGCTTTTTTCTAGCAACGGAAGGAAAGGGAGACACAAATTACTATTCTCAGGGTCTCTTTGGGATGAGCAGCCAAGAGAAGAACCTAGAGCTCCGAAGCTTGAGTCCTCAAGCTAACGGAGGTCAGCTCTGTTTTTCCAGAAAAGGTGCCTCTGGCAGAAGAAAAATGACCAGAAATCAGCCTCAACCTATTCCATACAGAGGGGCTGGGCAGGGACAGCAGGCTGAGAAGGTAAGTCTGAGTTGCTGTGGCTCAAAAGACTCCAAGAGGCTATGATCATGGTTCAAAAGAGTGGTGCTTGAACCTTCAACCCTGCAGGTCACAAGCCCTCATGCGCTGGCTGCTGGATTCACTGCAGAGCCTCGGGGTCAGGCTCTGCCCTTGGCCTGCACACGCTATGCTACCTGTGAGCACACGGCATGCTACCTGTGAGCACACGGCATGGCTGGAGGATCACTTGCCCCCAGGCAACAGGTTTGCACTTCAGGGGATGTTTCTTCCTTCCCTGGCGTTTTCTCAGGAAGCATTTCCCAGCCAGCTAGAAGCGCTCTGTTAGAGAATTCCATTCCAGCGGTTCTGCTCCCAACAGGCAGATTCCAGATGGGCCTGTTCTTACACGGGAGGTCCTCACTGCCCCACTTCTCTCGCCCAGGCTCCACCTGCTGCTGGTGCTGTTCTGCACATGGCACCTTATCCGGCATTGTCTTGGTCACTGCGCATGTTCTACTGACACCTTATGTTGGACCATGCTGTACAGTTTAAGCACTTTCCTGTTCATGGTCTCACTGAATCATTGCAACATACTCCAAAGTGTGTGGGCTAGCTGAAATTTACCAATCCAAAACACTTTGCCTAGCAAATTACTCATGTAAATAAAATGGAAAGCTAATCGTACTTAAGAAAACAGTTCATATTTACCAAGTCTTTTTTTAAAATCAAGCACCTAAGTGTCTCTACTTTGCTATAAGTATTAGACTAATGGGTATTACCATCTGTCTTTGAAAGTAATAAAACTTTACTGCCCTAAAAGTAACCAGTACTCAACATCATAAAGATATCAACTCTCCCAAAGTTAATTTATAAATTTACTTTTCAGTGCAAAACATTGGAAATTTGAATGTCCTCTAGCAGGAGATTAGTCACATAAATTATGGTAAAAGTATAAATACTGCCTGGGGGATGCCAGAGGGAAAGAGCAGCATGGAGTTTTTCACTAAAGGCAAGCTCCTGGGGTCTAAAACAGATGGAGAATCAGACTATCCCGATCATTACAGTGTGGAGTTTGTGGTGGGCCGGCATCTAACTGCCAGATTCCATGGCATTCAAGACTTGGGCATCGGATCCTCTTGAAACAAAACCCTGTTTGGGACCTGAGAGGCATCCTATAAAAACAATCCTATATAAATATGACTGAGAATGGAACATAAATCATATGATGCACATAATTATAATTCTTTGACTCCTTCCCACACCACAAATTTAAATTCAGCAAACTACAACACAGTGCCTGCAAACAGAAGACAGGTTTTGTTTGTCTGAAGTTTATCTGCCTGCCTCCGAAGGCACCTGGGTTTGGTGCCTAAGTAGAGCCATCACCTGGAACAGCTCCACCGCTGAAAACCTCGCATTCTGCTCTCTGACCATGACCTCGCAACCTCCCAGCTCCCCCCTCCTTCCCACTGACCCCATCTCCAGCACCATCCAGGTGTCCAGTCTTGGGATTCTACCAACTTCTCTAGTCTCTCAGACACACACCTCCCAACAGACCACCCACCCTGGCAGGCCTCTGAAGCTAGGATTTGTATTCTCTGCCCACCCTCCACCCCTGCCAGTGACTGTGGTTCAAGAGGTCTGAGGTGGGATCCAGGACTCTACACAAGCTTTAAAAGCTTCCTAGGAGATTCCGATATGGATGAGAAACACTGTCCAGAAAATCAAATTCTCTGGTTTAACTATACACCAATATAAGGTTTGACGTTCAAAATATTTAACAATTGTTGTGGAGCAACTGGAACTCTCATAAATGGCTTGTGAGGGTGTAATTTGTTACAACCACTTTGCAAAACTGTTTGGCGGCTGACCATGTGCATGCTCAGCGACAGAGCAATTCCTCTCCTAAGTACACACCCAAAGAAATGCGTACACGAGTACCCCAAAACACATATACAAGAAAGGCTATTTTTAATAAGCCCAACCTGGAGACAATCTACATGTCTGTTGACAGTAAATGAATAAACTGTGGAATATTCTTGCCGTGACATACTATACAGCAATGAAAATCAACAAACTACTGTGACACACAATATGGGTGAATCTCACAAACACAATGTTGAACAAAAGAAGCCAGACAGAGAGTACAAGATTTTTTACTCCATTGAGCTAAAGTTTAGAATCAGGCAAAACTAGATGTGAAGATAGTAGTGAGATTGGGGGAGAGGTATGGGGTAGGGCTTGGGAGAGGGCACGAGAAGGGGTGATCTGGGTAGTGGTAACAATGGTGTGTTCACTTTATGATGATTCATCAGGTTGCAGATTATGCTGCACATTTTTCTGTATATATGTAATATATCAATTTGAGTTTTATATCTGCAAGACCCAGGGAGAGAGAAAAGTATTCAGCAATGCCCTTGCTGAGGCACGATTAGAATGCGTGCCAAGGCACACCCAGGCTGTCTACACGGTGCCTGCCAGCTGAATTTCAGCCCTGGATGGCCACCCAATCCACAGCGACAAGGAGACATCTTGCCTGCGCAATGCATTGTTTACCCAAATGCCTACTGGATGTCTCGACCTGGAATTCCCACAAGGAACTCAAGTTAGCATCTCAAACTGATCTCAAAATCCAAGCCCCAAGCCTGCCGCAGCTGGAGTGTAACTGTGTCTGAGTTTAGGGCTCCACTTCTCCTTCATGCCTTAGGGCCAGGAGGTCCCTTCAACTCCATCAATTAAAACTGTCCCATCCTCCCTGCTCACACTCCCCCTGCTTCAGTCCAGACCCTCACTATCTCCACCGGGGCTCTTACCTGGGTCTTCTCTGGTCTCCTTGCCCCCGACTCCTGCTCCTCCAATGCACCTTCCATTCTGCAAAGTGATCTTTCTAATACCCAAACCCCTTAGCATGACATGTAAAAATATTCTTGGGGATGATTGTAAGCTTACCTCTCACCAGCCTTCTCCCATCCTCATGCTATATACTCCAGAAATAATCAGCCACTTAGCAGTCCCCAAACAAGCCCTGCTAGTTCACACAGATTTATGTCATTCTGTATAAAGAAGCATAACAAGTGATACCCCATTCCAGGTAAGAGCATGGACTCCAGAGCCAGACTGCTGAGTTTGAATGTTGGCTCTGTTACTTACTACCTGGGACCTTGGGCAAGATCCTTAACCTTTCTGTGCCTCAGTTTCCTCATCTGAAAAATGGGTTGTTGTGGGAATAGAAAGAGTTAACACATGTAAAGCACTATGGCACCTTATAGGTGCATACCAGTGTTAGCTCTTATGATGTGCATAAGGTGAAGCCAAAAAAGAAGTCAGGGGCTGGCCCAGTGGTGTAGAGGTTAAGTTCATGTGCTCTACTCCAGTGGCCCGGGATTCGCGGGTTCGGATCCCAGGCGCAGACCTAAGCACCGCTTATCAAGCCATGCTCTGGCAGGTGTCCCACATATAAAGTAGGAAGATGGGCATGGATGTTAGCCCAGGGCCAATCTTCCTCAGCAAAAAGAAGAGGATTGGCAACAGATGTTAGCTCAGGGCTAATCTTCCTCACAAAAAAAAAAAAGAAGAAGAAGAAGAGTCAAAAAAGGTTTATACATAGAAAAAGAAAAAACACTCCTTATATCCATGGATGTAGGTCAGCCACAAGGCTCCACATTCCAATTCTGAAATTTTAAACCATCTCTCCCCTCATCCCAAGACAACTCAGACATCTAGGTTCTTAGATCCCTTCAACACAGATGCCTGAATATCAGTCTCCTCAGTTCCCTCTGACACCAGGCTTACGCCATGAAGTTTATGGAACGTCAATGTGGCTTCAGGACAAGTCCTGGAAAGGCTTTCTAATTCTTCTTAGGTGTTCTGCTTTCCTCTCTTAAAGGTGATTAGGATAGTGCTTCCTCACCCTTGAAATGACTCAGGAGAAATGAGAGTTAGTTCTCTACTTAACACTGTCACTAGGTTTCCTTAAGACTAAATAATAATACGAAATGACCTCTCTTTCTATTTACAAACAATAAAGAGACCAGTTAGAGCAAATACCAGAGAAACTGTGGGGTACTGTGTTACGGTCACACTGTTTTCGCCTTCTGCAGTAAGCACTGGCTTGTGACCCTTTTCCTTCCTGCAAGCTGCTTTCACAATCAACCCTTCCCACCAGGATGGGGACCCAGGCAACAATAACACCCATGATATATGGAGAACTTACTGAATGATAAGACTTTTGAATACATTATGGTGTCTGGCTAAGAGTTGTCTCCCAAAATCCATTCTCCCCTTCTTCCTCCGTGGTGAGCTACATTTGACCGTGTGGGTGAAGACGACGGGAGCAGCTGCCCCTGGTGCAGAGAGGGAGCCCCACACTGCGGATGGCGGAGCTGTCTGGGTCCCTGGATGACCCCCTGGAACAGAACCTGCCCTGGAAGGTTACTAGAGAGGACAAACTTCCAAATGAGGGATCTCTTTGTTACAGCACCTTAGCCAAACACCAGCTAACACAATTACCTTGGTTAATCCTAAAATACACAGGGAAAGAATGGTATTAGTACCTCCTACCTCACAGGGTTACTGTGAGGATGAAATGAGAGGCTTGTGGAGTCCTTACAACAGGCATTTGTGGTACTATTATCATCCCCATTTTACAGATGAGGAAGTGGTAAGTGAAATGCTCCAGACCATCTAGTTAACACATGGTAGAGCCAGGACTGGAGCTCAGACATCTAACCCCGGAGCTGATCTTGTAATCCCCATGCTATTGCACTTCAAGAAGGATAAATGAAATAATACGTAAAAGGCCTGACCGAGTGCCGGGGTTGGTACCTAATTGTGCTCAGGGGAGCATCATCGTTGAGAGCGTGGCCGATGGACATCCAGTGACATCCAATTCTGCTCTGCTCTTACTAGATTTGTGACTGAGCCACAAGCCCCGGTTTTCTCCTACGTAAAATGAGAGTGATATTGCCAATCTCATAAAGCTGTAGATTAAAGAAGGTAACATGTACGAAGAGCTTAGGACCGAGGCAGGGAGGACTGGCGTTCAGTAATGTGGGTATCAGGAGCAAGCAGGGGGGCGCTGGGGCCTCCCGCCCTCCCCCGCCTGGTCAACTGCTTCCTCTTTGCGAGGCTGGGAATCATAACCAACATTTGTGCAAGCTCCCACCCAGGAGAGCAGCACCACATCATCCCTGCACCTGGGAGGCACAGAAGGCAGGAATTATGACGGTTCTCATTTTGTGGATAGGAAACGGAGACACAAGATTCCCAGAAGCACATTAGGGGTAAGCCGGGGTTCAGACTTAGCTCCAAATCTCTGATCGGTGGCACGCTGTATGGCCGCTCACCCAGCTGCCTCTCCTCCCAGAACGTTCTGGGTTAGACAGAGGAGCACTTCTCCATGAATGAATGAGCGAATGAATACATTAAAAAAATTTTTTTAATTAATTTGACAAATGAAAAGAGGGTTCCAGGTGTACAAAGGTTAAACCTA